ACAAGGCTCGCATGCAAAAGGTGTGAGAGAGAGGGTGAGAGAAAGGGGGGGGGAAACCAAGGCTCGCGATAAGGAGTTGGATCGCGTCTTTCATGTCAAAGACCCGCTCTAAGAGCCAATTCGTTTGCGACTGACACATCACTACTTTCTAGCTGCTGTGAACAATGGTTGTGTGAGTAGGTGAAGAGCCTGAGAAGTTTTGATTGTCTGCTACACAAACAGTTGTTTTAAACCTCTTTTTTTCTTTTTTTTTTTTTTTGCCTGTCCCGTTTGGCTCTTTTGCATCAGAATTGTTGTCTAAAGGCAAAAAAAGATGCCCAACGGATTTACTTTACCAAATTGACCATCCCAGCCTTGCCATAATGGTCCATTTGATTCACCCTTTATTGTTTATTTTATTTTCACTTGCTGAATACGGGACAGACTTGACTGGGGGAAAGAAGGGGAGAAAGAAAGGAAGACCAACAGAGGGGCAGCTGCGCCACTGTCCCAGAAAGAGCTGAGGAGAGTCCCAGATGAGGGCTCATTCAGCAGCCGCGGAACAGAAGCCAGGGGGAGTTGCAGTGACGCGCCCGTGAGCTCTGCCGGCAGCTGTTGTTTTAAACCTCTACAGCAGAGGTTCGAGGTAAAGGCTGTTTCTCTTTTAGTGCTTTTTTTTAATTTGTTGAAATGTATTTGATGTTTATTATATTTTATGTTTTTAGTAGTGATTTTTAGAAGATAAGCCAGGTGTGCAGCAAACACAGTTGTCTGCTGAGGTATGTTAACTTAATATATTTGACATTAAAAAAAAGTATATTTATGCACTATAATCTAATTTATATTGTACTGCCTCCTGCAGGGCAGGCTGCACATGTGAATTTGTCACTGTTTTTTTTTCCTCCTTCTCTTTTTTGTTGGCTTTTTGGTTTTAGTAGGGTCACCTTTTAAACTGTTTTTTATGCCAGGTTTTGTTTTTATTTCTACTGGGCTGGTGCAATATTAGTCGGGCAATGTGCAATCCCTGAGCTGGGCTCTTACCTTAGGGGAATTAGGTCTTTTTAGAGGTGCTCCGTGTGGATTGCAGTGAATAAGTTTTATTAAGAGTGATTTTAGTGCCACTGATTATTGCCTGAACTAAAACACTTAGTGCATGCGATAAATGTTCTGTTGGGCTCTGTGGCGGAGGTGTGGTCCCGGGCACGGCTGCAGGGGAGGAGTGGTGCAGTGAGCTCAACGGGGCGGTGCTGGAGACGCAGGTGAGAACAGCTGATGGCGTTTGGACTGATGATGGTTGGACTGATGACAGGAGAGGAGCGGAGGGGAGGCTGGAAATCAGCTGAGACTGGAGCTGTCAGACTGTGGACTATCATAATAAATGAAAACTAGAAATAAACGTGGAATCTGGCGACAAACAACTGTGCGTGTGTGAAGTGCATTTCACAGGCTCGGATTTATTTGGAGTGGATTTGTTTCTTTTAATGCAACGATCTGGGACCACCGGGGTAGAGCAAGCCCTCAGGTGATAGTTGCATTGCTGGCAGGTTGCACCAATAAGACTATCTTGTGGTCGTTAGTGACCTTTCCCATTTTGATGTTTTAGTCCTTTTGCAAACCCTTTGTGTTTTCTTTTAAAATAATAAATTTTAACATATCTGACTGATATTGACCCTCTTGTCCCGTTTATTCTGGGCTCGTTCCAGTAAGAGCTTTGGGCCTGAAAGTTTGCACAAGTAGTATAGAGGCCCTTAGCGGTTACTCGGTGGCTTTTACTCGCTACACAAACAAACTTTCTGACTGTGAACAGCACTGAAGTCATAATTAAGATCTGGTGGTACTTTTAATAAACATTTATCTTTAATATTACACAGCTTCATTTAAGTGCTATGGCTCCAGTGTCCTCTCAGAGATGGACAGCCTGAGCAGCAACTGAGAGCAGCCAGCAGGTGGCAGCACACCTCCAAAATTGGTTATGCTCATTGGAACTATGAAACCCCAACAGAGCGCTGAGAGTATGATTACATGCTTCTGTTGAGGACACATTTAAAAGTCAAAAATAAAAGTTTACTTATAAGCTTGATAATTTAATTCAAGTCAGTTCAATTCAATTGTATTTATATAGCGCCAAATCACGACAAAAGTCGCCTCAAGGCGCTTCATAGATACAGAGAAAAAACCCAACAATCATATGACCCCTATGAGCAAGCACTTTGGCAACAGTGGGAAGGAAAATTCCCTTTTAACAGGAAGAAACCTCCGGCAGAACCAGGCTCAGGGAGGGGCGGGGCCATCTGCTGCGACCGGTTGGGGTGAGAGAAGGAAGGCAGGATAAAGACATGCTGTGGAAGAGAGACAGAGGTTAATAACAGATATGATTCAGGAGGAGCATTCAACATTTGTCTCTTATAACATACAGGTTCAGGAGGAAGAGCAGGTCTTCTAGCAATTGTAATGTAGGTGGATTCGATTGAATGTTAGATAAGATGCTTAGATTAAAAAACGTATGAATTTGTGTGTGACTGGCTAAATGAGGCTTGTAGTTAAAAGTGCTTTGAGTGTTCAGATAGAGCAGAAAAGCGCTCTATAAGTGCCGAGCCCAAAGTTAGAATCTGAAAGCACTTCACTTGAACAGCAGCCAATCAGAAAAAAGCCTCAAACCACAAGAAGTCTGAGAACTCCGGCCTCCTTCATGACACTCTGAGGTCTTAGATATTCAAACCACTTCTTGTGCTCACTCTGAACGTTAACACACGGCTCAGTGTGGTTGTTCTAGGTCAGGGGTGTCAAACTCAAATACACAGTGGGCCAAAATTCAAAACTGGAACAAAGTCGCGGGCTAACATTAATATTTATTGAAATATATTTATCCTCCAGATATAAGAATGAATCTTTTCTTATGGACACGTTTTGCTGAAAAAACTGAATATGGAACAAGCAAAGCTTAATACTAAACAATATATATATTAGCTGTATAATGCCAGTAGGCCAGCTCTAATAGTAATTTGGTATGGCTTCGCGGGCCAAATGTAATTAGGCCCGCGGGCCAGTTTTGACACCTATGTTCTAGGTGTTACGATAAAGTTTAACGTCCAGCTGTTGATGAAAAGAGGATTTACAGATGATATCACTGCAGCTATATTTATTTATAACTATCAGCCAGAAGAGCAAAAATAACACATATTTCACCACAGCGTACAGGACAGACACACACTTTCCACAGCTATACACACTCTATTATTAGTTTTTGTGTTGAGAAATCTGACTGTAGCCTCAGCCATCAGCTCAGTGGAAAGAGTATGAGGAAGTAGCTGCTATGTTATACATGCACAACATGAAACAAAACAAAACCATAAAACATACAGAAGCACAGCAGCCATACTGTTCAGGGTTGTCTTTCCCTCCCAGTGTGTGCATGTCTGTGGAGCCTGAGGTCTATACAGAATAAATCTGAGACCTGATTTTTAAAAACAGTTTGGTTTGTTGCAATGTTGGAACTGAATGTAAGACATTGATGATATTTCTAAGTGTTCTATAGTCTAGAAAACTGAGGGTTAAAAGTTCTCCGCTTCTGATCAGTTCAGCTTCGCATGTCATGTTGTTGATGTACACATAAATAAAGCAGAAATAAAAAACCTTCAGATTATTTTCTATCTAAAGAGATTGTGACTGATAATAAGTCATTTACATCTGCAAACATTCTATTATTGCTGCAGGGCAGTGTTGGGTGTAACGCGTGAGTCACTGTAATTAAATTATTTTTCCACTGAAAAAGTAGAGTAATTAATTACTGTTCATTTTTAGGTATTTTAAATACAGTTACTTACAATGTACTTGCGTGACATTGTAAAATAATTAAACTCGCTGAATATCATTATTTAATTTCAATAATTTGTCTTCTAAACGTAGAAGTAAACTCTGCCGCTTTAACATCGTTGTAGTGCAGCTGCGCGTCATTTTGCACCAGTTTGCTGCACAGTCGTATTCTACAGCGGAAGATGTTGGACTTGGCTGAAGCGAGTGGCTGTTTTATGAAGTGGACATATTCCCGTCTCTTCACTTTTCTGAAACAAGCAGACAAGAACATTACAGTAATATGTAAAAACCATCGGCTGCTGTTAACAGCAGGAGTAATCTACCGAAGCGCCTGACACGAGAGCATAGACGAACCCTCTGAGTGATCCTTGTTCATCATCCATCACGCGGCAACTCCTGCTAAGCAGCAAACGTGATTTTACTTCAGCAGCACAGAAAGCATCTGAAGGTGAGCTTAAAAAATGATTGAGGCTACATTGTGGAAGAGATGCTACCGTGCGTACTGTAGAGTCTCTGTCTTTAAAAAATGTATATAAAGAGTTTAATTTCTATTGTTTTTCCACTCAAGGTTCATCGGGATTTTAAAGAAGTATTTAGTTAAATTTTCTTATTTAGTAATTAAGTTACTTTTCGACACAGTAATTAGATAAGTGTTTTAAATACAATATTTATTAAGTAATTAGTAATTAGTAATTAATTACTTTTTTAAAGTAACTTACCCAACACTGGCTGCAGGTAGCTACAAGTGCTGACATATAGTCAGTCTGTGTGACACAGATTAACAAACACAATCCAGGTCACAAATAACAACATGGTGATCGTTTATCAGCTCCAGGTTTTGGAAAAAACAACTGAAAGAAAGTAAACAAGATATAAAAATGTGATTGTTTAAGCTACATGTTAGCGTGTTGTGGAAAGAAGAAGGTTAAAAATGAGCCATGTGTGAAGCGGTGATGTTGAGGTGCCGTGCATCGCGAGAGTGTTCACAGCGCTTCACTTGGTCCACGTGTTGTCAGGTTACATCCTCATTCCAGAATGATTCATTTTCTTTTCATCTCAAAATTAATGTAAAAAAAACCCCATAATGACAAAGTGAAAAATATTTTGTTTTCTATTCTTGAAATTATATTGAAAATTAAAAATGATCATGATGTCATCACCCCATGAAATGTTGAGCTGAGCCTCATATTGATGTCTGAGCTCTTTCTTTACAGCTCCTTGGTTTGGCTCGTTGCTGCTCTCACTCTCCTGGTTTGTTTGTTTGGATTGTTGACTCTCCAGGATGCCTTTCTCACGTGGACCCGAAAAGTCTTACAGAGGTAAAGTAAAACAAGTGGGTCCAGGCAGACGTTGAAAACTGACACCATGGCGGCAGCCTCCTTCAGGTAGTACAATAGCCGGCCCACAGTGTTGGTGTCCCACAGAAAAGCATAGGGAAGACGAGCCAGGTGGTAGGGGACAAAGCAAACACAGAAGATGCTGACCAGCACCAACATGTTCCTGCGAGACTTCACCAGCTTCTCAGAGCCAGAGGAGGCCAGCTGCCTCTGCTGGGCCTGCAACACCCTGCGGGAGATGCTGTAGTAGAAGAAGACCAGGCATATGAAGACTAAGAGGAAGATGATGGTGCAGCTGATTTGGAATGCTTTATGAAGGATGCTGAATGACGTACTGAAGAGGGGCCCACAGTAGCAGCGGTCAGAGGTGAAAGGTTTGTGAGTAATGAAAAACATGATGTTGTAGGCGATTGTTGGAGCCAGGAGAAAAACCCAGGTGACCGTGGAGACGATGTGGGCAGTTCGTACTGTCTGCAGGATGTGAGTTCCTGAAGGATGGATGATTGTCAGATACCTGTAGAGATAAAAGAGGCAGTATACAACTTTACCAAACGAGTCAGTGGTGCCAAATCTGCAGAAGTCACTGTTAAAGTGAAACTAAATATTCATGTTCTTGCCAAAAGTACAGAGTTTAAGAGTGTAATTAACCAAAATCCTTGTTTTAACATTGTTATGAACTGCAATTTTAGCTCAGTAAATGTTCCTTACCTGTTAACAGCGATGTACCCCATGAAAAGGATGCTGGTGTACATGTTGAGGTACAGGGAAGTAGCTCCAATGCTGCAGTGGAGTATGTGCAAAATGGCCGAGTTGCTGGCATAGTGGATTATCCGCAGTGGCAGACAGAGGCAGAGCAGGAAGTCAGCAGCTGTCAGGTTCTGCAGGTAGACCATCAAGCTTCTGGATGCCTGCTGCTGAGTTTGAGAAATGTAAAACTTTAGGATGAAGCCATTGAGGAGTAAACCCACCTGTAGAGACACAGAGAGGATGTAAACAAGAGGACTTTCAAACATGATCCAGGAACCAGTTTCAGGGCACAATCTGACGATTTGAAACATACCAGAAACAGCAGACTGTAGACCAGCATAAAGAAAGGGTTGACTGATGGACAACCAGATCACAGGTGTGATTGGACAGATGAAGTCACATTTTTTTGAGTCAGCCATGCTGAAAAACAAATATAATTCACAGAGATACTTTACACATTAAGAGGAGCTGCCTTCATTCAGTTCAAAGTTAATGAATGTGTCATGGTCGCTGTGTGGCAGGCAGGATGAGGACCCAATCGCAAAACTCACAGACTCAGGGATGAACTCAAAAAACAGCTTTATTGCTGAAGAGGCAGAACGTTGGAAAATACAAAACTAAACTGGGAAAAGTAACTAACACTCGGAGAGAGAGACACAGGGAAATCCACGCAGCATGAGGGAGAACGTGACACAGAACTGAGGGAGACGCAGACATAAATACACAGAGGGTTAACGAGGGAAGTGGGAGCACACGGGGAACACAGGTGACACTGATAATCATAACAAGACACGGCAGGAGTGAACACAACACTAACGGGAGACGGGCAGAGTCAAACAGGAAGTACAGAGGTTCAGACAGGAGGAGAGAGCACGGGGAGAACACAGACATAACGGGCTGGGGAAAACATAGAATAAAACACAAGAGAGACGAGGGCTCATAAATACACAGAGGGGCACACAGGGGGTAAGAGTCACGAAGGGAAAACACTTAGGGAACAACACAACAGGGCAACTCAGGAAACATGGCCTAAGGAACGAAATACAAAAATACAAGGAACTAAGAATACTGGGCCCACATGGCCCAGGACCATGACAGAATGTGTTTAAGGAGGATTGCTGTACGTCCTCACTATCATGTCTTTATTAAAACTCATTGGAAAGCTTTCAGTTCTGTTATGACCCCCTCTGCTAAGGGCCAGAGGGAGAGTAACATAAACGAGTCCTTACACAGGAATCTAACAGAAACAGGGATTTTATTACCAATTTTACAACTGCAAACTGTCAGGGCTGCGCACAACAAGCCACTGGGCAACATTAAATACCCACACAAAGGAAATAAGACACAAGGGCACTCTAGATAGCTGAACGAGGCTCGAGGAAGGGAGGAAAAATAACTCAGTACAATAAACTCTACACAAGCTAACCTCCCCGGAACAAACAAGCGGGCTGGACAGTGCTCGGCTTTACACACACAGTTTAACTAGCAGGCATTCTCAGGCCGCACTCTCCAGACCCAGACTGCGCTCTCAGTCTAAAGACGCCACGCCAAATGACACATATAAAGCACAACGTTTCACATCGTTTCGAATCATCAAGTCTTATGTTCAATATTGAGTAAATATTTGTATTTTGCCAGAAAGTGTAAACAAAAATACCCAAATACATATTTTTATGATCAAAAAAGAGCGGGCGTTAAATGTTTCAGGCTTGAGAGGTGAGATCTGAATCTTGGCAGAAGTCAGTTGCAGTCCTGAGGCAGCTGTGTGAACTGCTTTTCTTTCCCATGACAGGAGCCACTAAAAGTCATCTTTTAAGTTAAGTATGAAATCAGTAGAAATACTAAAGATTTGAGGATGAGCAACAGGACTCACCTGTTTCTCCAGTTTTTGGTGAGCAGAAGAAGCTGCTTGCGTCGTTATGTCCCCTCAGTTAATAAGTATCACCGTAGATCAGGAAACACACAGTAACAAACTGATAACCGGCACTCTGACTTATTTCCTGTTTTTCGTCACTACTATAAGTAAAGACAGTGATGTTACGATATAAAGTGTGTGAGTTTATTACATACTTCATGTGTCTGCCCTTTTTTTGTAGATTATCTCATATTAAGTCACACCATAGCTCTTTGACAAGATGCACAATTAACAGGCTGAAATCAAAAGCGCAAACAAAGCAGAAGATTTTGATCTATCTGTGACTTCACTCCTATTGGCTTCTTTTTGTTTTAAGATATTCCTTTGTTGCACTTTTATGTTATGTTGAATTTAAAGGCATTTGTCACTCTGTTTATCAAACCATCCACACAAGTTGCATCACCATCTTCTTCGTGGTCTTCAATATCCCTGGTTTTCTTCTACTACAGCACCTCCTACAGGGTGTTGCTGGGACAGCAGAGGCATCTGGCCTCCTTTGGTGTTTCATTCCAGTGAGACCAGTCACCTAAATCCCAAGGATTCATAAACAACACAAGTTTTTACTGAGATCAGAGTCAATATGAGGCTGAACTCAACATGAACACACTCCCAACAGTGTAAATGTTGTTACTGTGGCCAATCTGGTCCAACACACAGGCATGTACGATGGCTACCCTTCCCTTAGCCTGGCTTTGCCAGAGGTTTCTTCCTGTTAAGATTGAGATTTTCCTTCTGACTGTCACCAAGCTCTTGCTCATAGGGGATCGTGTGATTCTTGGGTCTGTCTGTATTTTTGTAGGGCCTGTGCTTACAATAATAAGACAACGTAATAAGACAACTTATTAATAACCTCCCTTCATGTTTTAAAGTCTATTTCACTATAAATATATTGTTTAGTGTTGAAGGTGCTATGTTGGGTCGGTGTGTTGTGGAATGGGGGGTGACATAACCCCCCAAGACCCTCAGAGTCTTAGTTGCAGAAAAAAATGAATTGTGAAGGGGTTAATGGGGTCACTGCTGTAGCCCAACCCTCCAGCCTCCCAATACACCTGCCCACCAAGGCCCTGTGTGTGTGTGGTGATATGTTGTGAACCGTAGTGACTATAGTGTAATTAAAAATTCAAAAGGAGGGCAGTAAGTAATTTTAAGCACAGTGTGGCTAATTTAAAGTAGAGTCTTAGTCCCGGGTAATTCTGTTTAAAAAAAGTTTGTTTCTTGATCTTACATGGTAAGCGCACTGCATTATCAGGGTACAGGTCGTATTATTAAGTCACATCATTTTTGATAACCAAAGCAGGGCTTTGGCCTCCTCCAGCCCACATCGTCTACATCCCCAGACCGTTAGCGTTAAGGGGACAAAGGGGGCCGACAAATGAAGGCCTCCCTTTATATCATGAGATCAGAGACTTCAATTTTCATAATAAACTAAGGAAAACGCGTGGCAGCTTTTAAACTTTACTGACAGCAAAGAAGAAAAAGAAAGGAAAGCATTTAACAAAACCAGAAGTTTCATGAGAAGGCTGTGTGCAGGCAGGAGTGTGGTAAAGAGAACCCATATTGCAGACTCACACAGGCAAAAATGCAGTCAAAACAGCTTTACTGATGAAACATAAAATAACTAAACTGAAAATACCAAAAAAGACACAGATTTTCAGGAAACATAACACAGAGATGTGGACTTGACAAGAGGGGAGACAGCAGACGGGGGAGACAGAGCAACTAAGCAACACAGACCGAACATTAACAAAGAAACCAAAACTAGAAACAAGAAATCAGGTCTCCTAACAAGAAGCCCCCATTGAAGAGAGCAAATAGATCAGCAAACAATCTGAAAGAACGTTTCTATTTGTGCTCAGTGGTGATTTTTTTTTCCTTTTTATGTAGTTTTGAAAATAATATATTGCACCTGGCCTCTGTGGCGCCTCCTGTGGGTGGAGGTCTTACAGGACACGTACGAACTCCTGCTTGTTTTCCAATTAACCTGCCCTTGTAGCTTCTTATTGGCAGAGCACACCTGATCCAGGTAACCAGCAGCAGGTAGGAAAGGGATAACTCAAAAACAAGCAGGAGGCTCACACTGGAGGACTGGAGTTTGACAGGCCTGTCTTACAGTAAGGTTAGCACACGTCTTCTCTTCGAGCTCTGCCTGCCACAGTGTGCGAGAATGTTAGATGAGGTGCTTGGGTTTATAAAAACAGCAGTTGTATGAATGTGTGATTGGCTGAATGAAGCTTGTAATAAAAAGTGCTTTGAGTGTTTGCTTAGAAAAGAAAAAAAAACAAGAAGTACCAGTTTATTTATCATAAGCACAAATTAAGCTTTTAATGTGAAAGAGACCACCCAGGAAGTGATTGGTGTGGTAACTTGTGTCAAAGACGAGCGCCTCAGCAGAGCTCGGAGTCTGTGACACATAGGTAGAGTGTTGTTAACAGCACATCACTGAGTACAGTGCAGACCCAAAGATAGAGCGCAGTTGTTCTTCCAAGTGTTACAATAAAGTGTATTGTGAGGATATACTGATGTTTACACACATAAAGACATTTTCAGGGAGAAATGAATTGGCCATTTACAGCTGCAAGCGTGGCAATATTTCACAGTTAGCTACAGTAACTACTGCTACCCTGATATACGGTTCATATTTTGACTGTTTTTCTCTTTTAAGAGAAAGACGAAAACACTCACAGTAGTGATAAAGGATATTCGTGTGAACCAGAGAGGTGACAGATAGCTGAGCTGATTCAAATCACGCTGAAACCAAAGATGGATCAAATTGGCTTAAAACGATGAATATCATAAAAGTTACAGCCCCAGGGGAAACTGGACACCCACAAAGCTGTTAGTTCCTGTTACACAACTGCAGGATAAAAAAGAAAATGTTACAACTACAGGGGGACCATTTATCGACTTTTACTGTGAAACTGTGTCACAGGACTTTATTACAACTGTAATAAAGAGTAGAGAGTAGAGAGTGTTCCTTCAGTGTCTGACATGTGTTTGACTACTTCCGCTAAGCTTTTTAAACAAATTAAAAGCTGCTGATTGAAACTGCTGATAAGATTCAGAGGAGAAACCACAACCTTTGAGCAGACTGAGATCATGATTTGAATGAGAAAAATGATATTTGGTTTTGTGACATCAGCAGAACGAGAAAACCTCAAAGACAGAGAAGATAAAGTCTGACAGTGGAAACATGAACACGCATGTTGTCTGCATGAGTGTGTTTGTGACGAGTTCATGAAGACTTGGGATCCATCACATCACTGAACTCATCTGACTCTCAAAACAAATGTACAGCTTAGCATTTAATAACATGTTGAACTTTTCCTTAAAGCTCATTGGTTTAACTTGTTGCTGTAACAATGTCAGCCTGCTCCTTCCTGCTCTCACTCTCCTGGCTTGTTGGATGTTCTTCCCCAAAACCTTTCTCAGGTTCACCTGAGCCCGAAAAGTCTTACAGAGGTAAAAGTAAACAAGAGGGTCCAGACTGATGTTGAAAACTGACACCATGGTGGCCACTTCCTTCAGGTAGTACAACACTGAACCAACAGAGCAGCTGCTCCGCAGAAAAGTATAGGGAAGTCGAACGAGGTGATAGGGGACAAAACAAACACAGAAGATGCTGACCAGCACCAACATGTTCCTGCGAGACTTCACCAGCTTCTCAGAGCCAGAGGAGGCCAGCTGCCTCTGCTGTGCCTGCAACACCCTACAGGAGGTGCTGTAGTAGAAGAAGACCATGGATATGAAGACCAAGAGGAAGATGATGGTGCAACTAACATGGGTAATTTTGGAGAACAGGTTGACCGATGTCCAAACATATAACCACACCTGATGGAGTTTGAGGTCAGTGGTTTCTTGGTGATGAAAACAGGATGGTGTAAGTAACTGATGCAGCCAGAAGAAAAACCCAGGTGACCATGGAGATGATGTGGGCAGTTCGCACTGTCTGCAGGATGTGAGTTCCTGAAGGATGGACGATCTTCAGATACCTGTAGAGTGAAGAGAAAAGAGGCGGTGAATAACTTCACTAATCAGTCACAGTGTTCCCAAATCTTCAGAAGTCATTAATAATCTGAAAAGCGACGATGTGTAATTAACCCATTAATCACAGTTTTAACATGGTTATGAACTGCAGTTTAAATTACTAATGGTTCTGTACCTGTTGGCAGCAATGTACCCATAAATATGATGCTGGCGTACATGTTGAGGTACAAGGCAGAAGCTCCAAAGCTGCAGTAGAGCTCCTGAACAATAGGAGAGCTGCTGGATAGTGGGAGATGCGCAGTGGCAGAGAGAGGCAGAGCAGGAAGTCAGCAGCTGTCAGGTTCTTCAGGTAGACATCAAGCTGCTCGATGCCTGCTGCTGAGCTTGACAACAGTAAAACTTC